TTGCTCTTGTTGCCCAGGCTGGAGTGCAACGGCACGATCTCAGCTCACCACAACCTCTGCCTCCTGGGTTCAAGCTCTTCTCCTGCATCAGCCTCCCAAATAGCTGGGATTATAGGCATGTGCTGCCATGCCCAGCTAATTTTATATTTTCAGTAGAGACAGGGTTTCATCATGTTGGTCAGGCTGGTCTCGAACTCCTGACCTCAGGTGATCCACCCGCCTCAGCGTCCCAAAGTGTTGGGATTACAGGCGTGAGCCACCGCGCCCGGCCAATGAATGTCTTATATGAAGTCCACAATACAAGGATACTCATGTATGTCCGAGTTCCAGACAGCACTGATGGTAACCAAGGCCCTAGTTTAACTTCTCAGAATATACAGTGCTGGGCTCCTAAACAAGGCATTGGATGGAACTTTCTCTTCTCTTCCCAATCTCCTGCTGAAGACCTCATTCATCACCATAACGGCTTACTGAAATAAGTTCAAGTCAGTTGCATGAGTTATGATATGGGCCAGGCGTTACGCAAACACACACTAAGGGTTGTCAGGTCTTCTTGGCATGTTGAGTCCTTTATCATTATGTGATGCTCACTTATATCTCTTTATTTTTATGTATGTTAAAATTTTAATTTAATTTTTTTTAGAGACAGTCTCACTCTGTCACCCAGGCTGGAGTGCAGTGGTGTGACCATACAGCTCTTTGCAGCCTTGAACTCCTGGGCTCCAGCAATCCTTCTCCCTCAGCTTCCCAAGTAGCTGACTACACATGTGATACCACAACTGGTTAATTAAAAAAAAATTTTTTTTTAAATGTTTTTGTATAGATGAAGGTCTTGCTGTTTCCCAAGCTGGAGTGCAGTGTCTATTCACAATAAATTATAGCGCATTATATCCTTGAACTGCTGGGCTCAGGCAATCCTCCATCTCAGCCTTCTAAGTAGCTGGGACCATAGGCATGCCCCACTGCACTTGGCTTATCTCTGTGTTTTTTCCTTTCTCTGAAGTGTACTTTGTGATACTAAGATAGCTATGTCATGTTTCTTTTAATTAATGTTAGCATTTTATATGTTTCTCTATCCCTTTACTTTTAATACATGTGTCTTTGTATTTAAAGTGATTTCCTTTTAGCCAACATACTGTTTTTAAAATCCACTATAACAGTATCTGTCTTCTAATTATATTTGGACCATTGACATTCAAAGTGATTATCAGTAGTTGTATTAATATCTACCATATTTTTTACTTTTTTCTATTAGTTGCCCTTGCCTTTTTTTTTTTTTTTTTTTTTTTTTTTTTGGTATTGTCTCTGACTCTCCTTCTTTGGCTTTAATTGAGCATTTTACCTGGAGGTGACATATTCTGTAATCATACGATTTGTTAGTGAGCCTTTGGTCCTGGCTGGGGTTGTGGCCTTCTGTGGTATTG